ACCAGAATGGTTATTATATTTATAGTGACCAATACTGGACCAGAATGGTTATTCTATGTAAGGTGACCAATACTGGACCAGAATGGTTATTATATTTATGGTGACCAATACTGGACCAGAATGGTTATTCTATGTAAGGTGACCAATACTGGACCAGAATGGTTATTATATTTATAGTGACCAATACTGCACCAGAATTGATATTCTAGGTATGATGACCAAACTGGACCAGAATATATGAAAGTAATGTTCACCTTCTATGTTCCCACAATAAATTTAAAATTTATATTGGAAATGAACTCAGATAAAGGAAATGTACAATTGTTTACGTTATTTGCATAATTGCCTGAGTCTGCTACTTCCTTCCTTCCCCTACTTAGCCTTTGATCTTATGTGGTTTTTATCACTTTCTCTTTCAAATGACCCATAAAGGTTAAATGTTTTTATGTGTATTTTGTGAGTATACAGAACCTAAACCAGACATAATGAAGACTATGTCACAGTCTTTATATGGTGTTCATTGTATTCAATTACAGTTGTCATGAGTCCAGAATCTACTCAGGATTTGAAGTCTATCTAATTTACTGTGTACATTGCATCAGTGACAGAATAAGGACCAGCATATTGTATTCACAACAAATATTTTATAATATTTCATTTTGAAAACTATAACTGTCTCTTCTTCATAATCACACACATTTTTGTGCCAAATGAGGTAACTTTGAATTTAATAAGAAACCTTTTAAGGTCACTTCAACATTTCTTGCACTGTTTGGCACTAGTCCCAAAAAATTAAAGTAGTCACACTCTTTGTTATAGTTTCAGTTCATATACTGTGAATTACTTGCTGCTAAAAATGTTCTGGATTTACTGGCATTTACAAGACAAAATTCCACGAAAGTTGGTGTCATACGACAGAAGATAAATTTTCACTGAGTTATGAAATTTGTGAAAATTCGTCCTGCGAAATTGACGCAATTCACAGTATTCTGATTTTGATAACAAGTTCAAGTTAAAAATGTCAGAGAAACAGTAATAATATTCATGTAAGAGACTATTCTTTTATTTACACTCAAATAGTATCCTCTCTCACAAAATAATTTTAAATATTATACAAAATTTATGATAACAGCAAGATAAGATTATATCAGATTATTGACATAAAATTAATAAAAAAGAATTATAGAAATGTTGATAAAATTCTGTAAGCAAATCCATGTGAGACGAGTGAAATGTTGTTATCAACAGCAGCTGATGCAATCTGATGCGGCAGCAGCTTATCACATCAATATAACAGAGATAGATAAATATATCAGTAAATATAAAATCAATTTGACTTCGGAAGTGTGTATTTGAAGTTACTTAAGTGGGGTTTTTAGGTTATATAGGAATGTTTTTGTCATCATTTTTTTAGAAGCTATCGGTGAAGGATATAGTTCAAAATGTGATTCTTAGTAATAAATGAGAATTATGTTCAAACTGGAAATATCCTAACCAGGATG